ACCCAAGAACGGGTGTTTCCATATTTCTTCTCAACTAGGACCACTGGTTTAGCTCAAGGATGGCCTGATAACCCCGTCGTGTTCCGTGTCCTAGATAATTTTGTTTGCATTTCCTTTCTACGTCTGTGGCGATCTCCGATCCGGTTGACGAATCGGTTTGGTATCGCCTCTATTAATTTTGTGATTCACGATGTTGGTTCTCCCTGTTTTTTCATTGGTAAGTATGGAAAAATGGTTCTATAATTCGGTTAACTTCTTCTTCTGTCGGTTGTTGAGTAAGTTTCTTGCAGCAAATATAAGTTCTTCTTCATATTTATTGCCGGCTCTTCAGTGGTTGCTGTCACCTGGTGGATTATGGAGGCTTCCGAGACACAGGCTCCCAATTTCCTTCCTTCATCAATTGTCACAAAGTAATTATTTGTGTTGATGAATCAAACAGGTACAAGTATCCTCGCTACAATGCTACAATAGTGTCGCTCCGTTTTGGTAACAGTACGTCCTCTTCTAACGTTACCGTCGTTACCCCCGCCGGTACCTCCATCCGTGGATGTCCATTCCCATGATAACATATCCTCCAATATCCGCCATGATAGCTCGATGTGGAAATGTGATGATTCGAATCGTTATATCCACATCGATTTCTCTATAGACAGTGGCCCGTAGCGGTCCGCTGAAGCCATCACAAGTGGCTTCCTTGAAGACGTCAGGAGTAAGTAAGTAAGTATCCACCAACAATGCACATTTATTTTCGTCGATCTGTACATCTACGAAGATGCTGCTGTTATCACGCCGTTCGGATGCCACAAAGATGATCTTGATAATGACGGGTAGAACCTGTCCCCTGGAGGTCGACCCACTTTAGTTTTCCTACGGCAGCAAGGAAGATGGTCCTTCCTCAGCCACCCCGTCACCCATTCATGGCAATCTTCAATAGAAAAACACGGGGAATCTCTAGCTGTCGCGTTGGACATATCGAAAGCATTCGACTGTGTTTGGCACGAAGGACTCCTCCACAAACTACCATCATACGGCTTACCACCCCAGCTATGCCATCTCTTATCGAGTTTTCTTTCAGGCAGATCGCTTCACGTGGTGGTGGACGGTGTATCGTCTGATACCATTGGCATCAATTCCGGCGTTCCACAAGGATCAATTTTGGCACCAACATTATTCCTGCTTCATATCAATGATCTGTTGGGAGTAACAACTTGCCCCATCCACAGCTTTGCAGATGATAGTACCCTCCATACTGCGTTCTCTTCCAGAATTCCCATTTCTTCCCAGGAAACTGAGAACTCACGGCGCAGGCAGGTCAATGCTGTCAATTGAGATCTTGCTGAAATCACCGCCTGGGGAACAAACAACCTAGTTGAATTCAACGCCACCATAACTCAAGCCTGCATTTTCTATAGAAAGGCGGAAATCAGTATGCCCGATATCGTAATGTCTGGCTCCACCATTTCCACCAAGCCCACTATATCTATGCTCGGTATTTCCATCAGCAACACTCTTTCATGGGATAATCATGTCAGATCCATCGCAAAAGCTGCTTCACAAGAACTCGGATTCTTGTTCCGTGCGGAAAGCTACTTTACACCTCAACAGCTTCTCATGATCTACAAAGCGCAGATACGGCCTGTTCTAGAATACTGTTCCCACATATGGGGTTCAGCACCAAAACATACGCTGATGCTCTTAGATTTCATCCAGAGAAGAGCCATTTGCCTGGTGGGTGACACCCACACTCACTCACTCTTTGACATCATTGGAACACCGTAGAAAGGTCGGCGACCTTTCACTTTTCTATCGATACTTCCACGGGAAATGTTCTTCGGAAATCTCTGCTATCATCCCTTCACTATCAATACCAATCAGACGAACTAGACAAGCCCAGTCAGCACATCCTTTCGTTGTCAACCTCGAAAGCTGTGGAACAGCACTTTATCAAGACTCCTTCATCCATAGAACGGCTAGGCTCTGGAATTCATTGCCTGTGGCAGTATTCCCACAACATATAATCTTCAAAAGTCAAAAAAAAATTCCGATACCTACCTCCTGTCCCTATCCTCCCTAGGAACGCACGATGTTCTTTGAACATTATAGGGATTCCCTTTCGTGCGCTTCAAGCGATAAAAAAAACTGTTTGCAATTCCAATAACGTGCCGGTTCCTTCTTCTTGTCCCAGACGCCCTTAATAGCGTTGATTAAAGCTTCCGTAGAATCCAGACTGTGATTATCTGCTATCTGCGCTGTCATTCATGGCTCATACTTCCGCTAATCCTCGTAAAGCTTCTGCTGCAGCCCCGTTCTGAAGGCTAGCTGCCAGAGCACTGGTGAGGTCTTTCGGTCGAGTCAGGGGAACTGCTTTCTGCATTCAGATATCACGGAATCCATCTACCAGAGTATGAACAGCCATACATTTCATTAGAAACTCGTTGACTGACGGGTAGGCACAATGAACCAACCAGGCTACGTCCACTTTGAACTCTTGTAGGCTCTTGATGTTGACTCTCTGTCGACGGTTCTTCATCTGTGATTGAAAAATTTGCTGCAGATGTTCATGGCCATATCGCATGTCGATGCGTTTGACAAGATGTATGTAGCTATCGGCTTCATCTTCTGGAATGAATGCAGGATGTTTGGTGCATCACCCCGAAGAGCTTCTATAAGAGCCAACAGCTTGTCCAACGATGTGACAAGAAGCGAATGAAAGGGGAAAATGTCTTCTTAGCGATCTAAGTTGGTGGCAGAGCGCAATATTTGCTAGAATAATTCGCCCTCGTCGAAAGATAATAGCCGATGAACCAGTGTGGAACTCATGTAGTGCTCGCACTACATGTATTCAAATCCACATGTTGAGTATTACACTGGTCCTTCGGATATAATCTTCAAAGAATATATAAATAAATGATATATGTCCCAAAGCCATATATGTAAATCATTGTATATATTCTATCGAACGGCACCTGTGCCAATCACTATCCTGAGCAAAATGTCTGAAAACTTGCACTCTCCTATTCGGTGATTTGCACTCAATTTCGCGATCTGATAACAAAATAAGAATTATGCCATCCAATACCCATTGATTGGAAGATCTCGAAAACCTACCTGTGCCACCTCTCAATCTGAGCGTAATCCACGGCACAGCGATTTATTCAATAATAATAATAATAACATTTATTGATCCCAAAAAACATACAATGTTTATAGAGGGAAACAACAAGAAAAAAAATAAAATCAAATATGCAATACAATGAAAGATAAACAGTTCAATCAGAATTAATTGATACAAGGGGAGAGTTAAATTGATAAAATATATTTCTCCAGTTCACACTTAAATTTTGTGACGAATCTAATAGATTTTATTCTGTTGGGTAGACTATTATAAATATTTATTCCACAAAATTACAATGATTTTTTCCCAAACAGTGTAAAACTCAACATGTGGATCTGAATACTGATAAAATATATTTCTCCAGTTCACACTTAAATTTTGTGACGAATCTGATAGATTTTATTCTGTTGGGTAGACTATTATAAATATTTATTCCACAAAAATACAATGTTTTTTTCCCAAACAGTGTAAAACTCAACATGTGGATCTGAATACTTGTAGTGCGAGAACCACATGAGTTTCAAACTGGTCCATAGGATATATTATCTTTTATCTTTCGACAGGGCGAAATATTCTCTGAATTATTGACGATCTGTCACTAACTTAGATCAGTTTGAGTCGGGACACGTTTGGATATTCGTGAAGGGAATAGTACCCCCTTCCATTTGCTTCCTTTTGTTTCAACTCGTTTTTACATGACAGTGTGGCACGGTTAGGTTTTCGAGATCTACCATTGAATTGGTATCGAATGGCATAATCCTCATCTCGTTATCGAATCAAATCAAATCAGATAGTATCATTCTTCAATCATTTCGCTCAAGTCAGTGATTGGCACAGGTGGATAAAATACAATGTTTTACATGCCTTTGGAACATATAATATCATGTTTTCAGATGACGGTAGAAATTTGCAGCTGGCTCTCCTCCTAATAATATTTTCAAATTAGATTTTGATTATACAGGGTGTATCGAAATAACACCGAAAAAATTCAAGGGGTGATTCCTTGTGATATTTCAGGAAATAAAGTTCATATGAACATGTTTCCTAACTTGCTTCGTTATCGATATACAGGGTATTAATATTTTTATGAAAAATCTTTTTTCTATTCATTTCTCAATTGTCTTTTCATCTATTTCAATAAAAAATTGTGGCGTTGTTAATAGAAATATGGAGCTTCTTTTAGTGCAATCAGATTCAAATAATATTTCTACTGGCGTCACAGTGGGTAAATTCATCGATATTCGAATGTCATTGTACACCAGCGGTATTTCTGAGTTTCACATTTCTCTTAGATTGGACTATTGAAATAACAACTTTTTTATCCTCTGTCTGATTTTTGTATCTAGCTTGTAGGTTGCAGGTTCAATCAGCAGCGACAAAATTCAGAATCATTATAAATTTTACGTTTTAACCAAGGTTTATGAAATCTAACTCAACGATATCGGTATGCAGCTTCCTGCCATTTCAATGAACGTCAAATTCTGATGACATTCTAATATAAATGTCATACCATATTACATTTCATCAATCCAGTTTATAAAAAACAAGAACAAAGGAATTTTGAACAGTCTTGCTCAGTCATTGTCGATCTGAATGAAAACGTAGTAGGCGACCTATAGTGCGATTTTTCTTGCCGTGATGAAATTCATAGTTTTTTTCTCTAGAAATCAGTGTTCGTGCCTATTCGACTTTTAACATGTGTTTCAGGAACTTCAGTAACTAAACAGTTTGTGACATTACTTTATTCGATCTTCACTTCATAAAATACCGCCAGTTATCTGTTCAAATCAATGAGCCATGAATCAAGAAAACTAATGAATGCCTCTCATTATTTATATTCTACAAGTGCGTGAAATATAGCCTGACAAATTCTATACTGTTCTAGGCACAGTCTGAAGATTATTATTTCTTGAACAACTGGTGTCGCTATTCATCATTCCCTCTATGCTACACGATAATCAGAGGTACAAAGATCACCAATGATTTTTATGGAACCTTGAAGAAAGCTGAAAATGAGAAAATCGCCATCACAATGGAATACTTCCCACTTGGATATTTGATGGTTAGTAGGTACATTGAAATGTCCTATAATTTTATGGGGAAATATTGTAATTATTGTTGAGGTGTTATTTATTATAGGTCGCGTGCACAATGACCGACCCTGGAGGAAAAATATTGAAACACAACCTCATTTTTCTGTAAATTATTGAAACACAACCTCACTTTTTTATTTGGTTACAGAGGAATCAAAAATATTGAAACACAACCTCATTCTTCTGTAAATTATTGAAACACAACCTCACTTTTTTATTTGGTTACAGAGGAATCAAAGGATTGAAATAGTTTTGCACAATATTTTGGCATACGAATCGTGTTTTTTGCGCTATTCATTAATTCAAGCATGCCTTCGCATTGTGCTGTTGTACAATGCACAAAAAATGCAGCAAGAGACTAAGGAATATGATTTTTCAGGTAAATAGTAATCTCACATAGTTATCATTATGAAATGTTGTCATTCCTTATTGAAATTCCTTCTGCCACTCCTGCAATACAAGCTGATACTGCTAATAGATTGAAAATGTCTACAACAGACACGATCGTCAGCATGTCAGACCAGTCCTCCCGATTGATTGCATGATTACAATCTTCTTGCATTATTTTAGAAATTTCAGGTGTATTTCTACCAGCTCCTATCGCAGAAGGAATTCCGATGAGAAATCAGAGAAATTACCAAATTTCAAAAATGAAAACTATAGGTGAGTGACTATAGTAGGTACTTACTTTAAAATCATAATGTACCATCCGGATTCCTTCATCTTCCGCTGCAGTTTTTGTGCATTTTACAACAGCACAATGTGATGGCATGAGAGAATTGATGAATAGCGGAAAAATACGATTCGTATGCCAAAATAATTGTGAGAAACTATTTTGATCACTTGTAAACAAATAAGAAAAGTGACATTGTGTTTCAATGTTTTGCCTCCAGCGTCGGTCATCTGACAGTTCTTGCACGCAACCCATAGTAGTGTGAAGTTAATCTATCGGAAGTCCTGATGCTAATGTAGGTATACCACCGATGGGTGCCCCTTAGGACTAGGGCTGGGAAAAAAAATCGATATATCGATAAATATATCGATATATCGATATATCGAATAACGATATTTAAGTTTTTAAATATCGATATATCGATAAATATCGATATATCGATAAATATCGATATTTCGATAAATATCGATATTTCGATAAATATCGATAAGTATCGATATATCGATAAATATCCATAAATATCGATAAATATCGATATATTGATAAATATCGATAAACATCGATATATCGATAAATATCGATATATCGATAAATATCGATATTTATCGATATATATCGATATATCGATAAATCAATATACAGTGTGTCCAAGATAAGGTTGCTCAGTAATGTCTTAGAAGCAACTGTGAGAAGAGGATATCTTTATTTAGAGAATAATGGTCATCATTTTGAACAATTGTTATGAATGTTTCTGTTGGTATTGCCTAAACTTATTACAGTAATTCGTGTAAGAATTCATAATTAATTTGAAGCGCTGCAATAATATGGTGAAATATTTTTTTCCACTTTTCGGTATTGAATAACTATATAGTCTCTCAATGTTTGACACTAGGGCTGGGAAAAAATATCGATATATCGATAAATATATCGATATATCGATAAATATATCGATATATCGATAAATATATCGATATATCGATATATCGAATAACGATATTTGAGTTTTTAAATATCGATATATCGATATATCGATAACTATCAATATATCGATAAATATCGATATATCGATAAATATCGATAAGTATTGATATATCGAACTTATCGATAAATTTCAACTTATCGATAACCGATAACTGAAATCCAATATCGCGCAGCCCTACTTAGGACACATTCCGAATCGTATCTAGGACATTCCGATAGATGAACATAATATGGATTATCTATAAGAGTTTCTTCCGAAGTCAAAACAGCTCATTTACCAATGTACATTTCAATTTCATGGTTGTTCTAGAAATGACACATAATATCTGAAATCATGCCATGATATTTACCACTTGGGACATCCGTTAGATGTACCTGAAGTATTATTTAGAATAATATTCAATCAGGGACATGCTAAGGAAGTCGTTGCATGGACATTCTACTATATGTACCACGTGATTCGTTCAAAGAATGGTATTTGAAGGATATTTGAAATGATGTACCAGCTGGGACATTCTATGGATGTCCTTGTTCGGACATTGCATGGGATGCACGGTATGAGAGGTCCGAAGGACGATTATTTCAGGTCCAGGATGTTGCGTGCTATTAGGGAATGTTTTATATTATTCGGAAATGTTGAATATTACTCTAGAATGTTACAGAATCTTCCAGAAGGTTTCAAAATGATCTGCAAAGTTCAAGAATATTCTACTTCATACCTATTATGTATCAGAAGCTTTTGGACCTTCAGAATGTTCCGGTACTTTGAGAATACCATAATTTTCACTTTTACCTTTATAATTCCTGTGTTTCAAGATTCATCATTTTCATTTACATTCGATAAAAGTTAGCTGGGGCTTTGACTGAGCAAAACAAGAGCGCCTTTGTGTTTATATGAATTGTCGCCTTAGAATCACTAAAAAATCACTGCTTGAAAGTTTGGCTATACAGGGTGTCCCTCCGGGAACTTCATCGATCAATATATAGAAAACCATAGGTGAGCCGAATTTGAAAATCTGGGAGTTCACTATTGTTGATAAATGCACTCTGGCTAAAATATTTTACAGATTGTGGCCCTTCCGATTGTACCAGAAGTGGACCCCAACTACGTTATTTTAAATAGGACACCCTGTATATCATCAAGGTTCTAGATTCCACGCATTATTTTGAACATGTTTCATGTATGATGTCCTATACCCAAGTCTAACCCTTTTGGAAATATTTCGAATTTCAAGCTGAAAACTGCGTCTGCAGACCGAATTTTTTTTTTTCTGAACATGATCATTAATTTTCGATTGTGTATCGATTTATTCGTAGGAGAGGACCCAGTTCAGTAGAATTTCGATTTCAATTCAATTACAGTTATACAGGGCGTTCACCAGAAAATGATACAGATCCGGTTGAAAAAATTATTGTAAGTCAATTTTCTCAAATGGAAACCCCCCAATTTCATATTCTCATTCGATTCGGCATCGAAAATGAAGCTAATTTTCAATGAGGTTATCTCTGCCTACACTCAACAGTTTTCGAAATATTGGCGAATTAACATGTCTCAGTTCCAGAATATCTCGTATTCTTGAGTTTACTTATTTTTAGTTGGCCATGACGCCCGCAGTTGCGTTGGAAACAATCAACTGTCACGGAAATGTCATTCGAATGAAGATAACTCAAATCTATTCATTATTTGAAACGAATTCACAAAATCTCACTCTTCGTGGAAAATCTGTTTCTTTCAGGTGCTGAACTATGGAGAACTTATATGGGTGAAATTTATGTTTGCGCAGTATTCTATGTACCTACTGAGTTTTTGTCAATCCTGATTCTCTTGCAACTTGTCTCAGAGATATTGTTGGATATGCAGCAAAATATCCCAAAATGGCAATTTCAATATATTAAACATCAACAATTGGCTTGTTTCTCTGCACCCTTGCTTTGACCCCAGCGAGCACAAACATCCCTGGGATGTTTTGGGATGTTTTGAAAATGTTGGCATGAAGATGTTATTTTGAGACGTAATATGCACTGACCAAAGAGGTCTTTGAAGGATATTGAAGTATTGTTTTTGTTCTTCTGTGGCATTTCTTTGTTTGCCTACTGAGAGGTATCCCTGGGATGTTTTGGGATGTTTTAGGAATGTAGGCATGAGGATGTTTTTTTGAGGCGTAATATGCACAAAGAGGTTTTAGAAGGATATTGAAAGTATTGTTTTTGTTCTTTTGTGCCCTTTCTTTGTTTGCCCCACCACAACGTCTCATGCTTACGTCACAATACGATGAATTCTGATTTGTTTTCGATTTCGTTCTTCTTGTTCGCAATTGGCATTCGCGTTTGCAGCGTGTCACGCTTACATCACGCTGCTAACGAACAGAAAGGAATTTGGTGAAGTTTATTGTGTTAGAAGACTTATTTAGTTTGTAATAATGACCATCAGATGCAAGATGTGTTGTTCGGTGCCTCAGTGTAATCAATATATAAAAGTACGAATTCATCAATACACAGCTTCTCCGCAGTTGCAAAATTATGCATTGTGGAGAACATTTCAAAAATTGGGAAACCTATCTCCAAATATATATCTGTGTGTAGTAAGCAATACTCAGAAACCGATTAAGAAGGTAATTTCATATCAAGGAAATATTTTCATGTTCAATCTATTTTTAATGCATTTTTCCATTCAAGGGAAATGGAATCCTAATGCAAAAGTGCATTTCGACAAAAGGCTTCAGAAAAGTACCTCGAAAATGGTTTTTTACAGTGATTTAATGTGCGCAAGACGCGTTGAAAATGTTCTGTTGTGTCCATGAAAAGGCTTTAAAAAGAACTAGGGAGAAAGTAGTTTTGTGACATATCAAGGACATCTCGATAATTGCCGCCTGCGGCGGACATTGGCTGTTCTATAATAGTTCTATTCATGTGTGAAGAGAACATCGCAGTGGAGGTTCAATGTCTCGAAATCTCGTACTTTTAAAACATCTCTGAGATGTTTTTGTGCTCGCTGGGACGGATCCAAAGTTTTTGAAATTTTCTATAATTCGTTTAAAAGTATTTTGTGAGGGCTTCTGCTTCTTCGGATACCGAATAGCAAATATATCACATGTTCTTGAGATAACCCTATTAGATGTAAGTAATCTTCATTCGACTAATTCAAACGAGCCGGCATGATTGAACTGCGAGCGCCATGGCCAACTAAGAATAAGTAAACAAAAAATACGAGATATTCAAAGTTAGTTTCATTTTCGATGCCGAATCGAATGGGAACATAAAATTGGGGGGTTTCCATTTGAAAATTGACTTACAATAATTTTTTCAACCGGATCTGTGAACGCCCTGTATAACTGTAATCGAATTGATATCGAAATTCTACTAAACTGGGTCCTCTCCTACGAATAAATCGATACACAATCGAAAATTAATGATCATGTCCAGAAATAAGAAAAAAATATTTTTCGGTCTGCAAACGCAGTTTTCATCTTGAAATTTGAAATATTGCGGAAACGGTTAGATTTGGGTATAGGACATTATACATGAAACATGTTCAGAATCATGCGTAAAATGAAACCTTGGTAATATACGTGGTGTCCCATTTGAAATAACGAAGTTAGGGTCCACAATCTCCAAAATATTTTAGCCGGATAGCACTTATCAACAATAGTGAACTTCCAAATTTTCAAATTCGGGTTACCTATGGTTTTCTATATATTGATCGATGCAGTTCCCAGAGGGACACCCGGTATACTTGATCGACACCCCTTATTCCCTGATGATACACAATGGGTGCCAGCCATTTTATATTTCAGCAATATTACGTGAAATCAAATCCTGATGTGGAATTAATTTGGAGGAAAATTGGAATTGGAAATGGAGAGCAGACATGGTTTTTCTCACAATCAACACCCTATGTTGAATCCTTCAACTCATTACTGAGCCGTTTGCAGCAAAGTGGATTGGTAAACCATTGGTATGCCGAGAAATGACGATCTATTATCTACCTGATTTGTACTGCACTGTGGTTCATATTATTCATTTCTAGGTTTGAAGAACAAGTACTCAATCATGGAGAGGGCACGAAGCCACAGTCGTCTGTTTTTCTGAAAATGAGGCATCTTTCAAATACTTTCTTCCTTTTAGGATGTGGACTAGTATTATCATTCATCGTATTTCTCATGGAAATCTTCATGATGAGACGAAATAAGAAGCTGATCTGCATACTCTGAAAAAACAACTGAAATGTTGAAATAAGTACCTAGTCATAAATGAAAATAAATCAATTGAAATTCAACAGAGGTGAACTATTGGAGTACACAGTGGCGTAGCTATGGACGGGCAGTTCGGTGCGGTGCACCGGGGCATTGGGGCCCCGGAGGGGCCCCTATATCCCAATCTGCATTAGCAGGTATAATGCAAGAAAGTATTGGTGTGCAAATTAATTCATGAACCCTGTAACTTTTTTAATCCTTGTCAGATTTTTGTGATATTTCGATCAAATCGTAGATTCATGTTCCGGAATGTTAGTCTAAATATTAGTTTCTGTGAAGAACTGATGACTTGATCATTATATAGGGAAATACCAAAGTTACTTCTTAACGCCATGTGGCAAAATTGAGTTATTGAACTTGGCTTCATTATTGGAGTTTGATCCCTTCCTAACACAATGGTTGCTGATTCACGTCAATAACTCTTGTTTAAGAGAATATACGAGTGTTTTAAGAAATTATGGCATTTTTCAATTATTTTTAACAATAATCAGATCCTACATCAACTTATTGATTAACAACTTGAGGAATCAATATTACTAATTTCTACCTCATTTTTATGGCACTTACCTAAAAAAACCTTGAATACAAAAAACAAACAGAAAGCAGACCTGTAGTCAATAACCAGTATGCTCTCCTCGAGTTTGAATTACAGCATTTAACCACCCTGTCATCGAGTTGATCAAATTTCTCAAGTGGACTTGGAGAATAACTAAAATTCTTCAATTGTAGCTCTTGAAGAGTCTCTGACAAGGCCGGACGAATGCGAATAAGCCTCTGAAGTTCATCCCTAAGATACTCTAGAGGTTTTGAATTATTGTTGACAAAAATTAAAAAATTCCATACCTTCTTCGAACACTTGTATATTCTCTTTAAAAAACCAATATGCTGAGAAAGGACGAAAAATGATCAAATTTCAATCCTAAACATAATGAAGCCAAGTTTAACCACTCACTTTTTCCACAAGGCAATAGGAAGTTAAGGGTAAAAGAGTAACTTTTGTTTGTCCCTGTATAATGATCAAACCATCAGCTTTCCTCGGGACCTAATATTCAAGAAAATATTCCGAAACATGAATATACGGTTTGGTCGAAATTTCACCAAAATCGGACAAGAATTAAAAAAGTTACAGGGCGAAATTTTATGGTGGCCGGTTTTTTTTGCCGGTGAGTGTATATTCCCTACTTAATCATTATTGCTGGGCGCCTATGAATGTTGAACTCAACTGTGATTTTACAATATGAAATATTGCTGCCAGCAGCGAGACCAGATCATAATCGTCAGTTGAAAGCTCGGTTGGAAGTTAATCAAAGCGGTCACAGGCTGAATATACTTACCTATGAAAATTTGCGTCCTTATACACGTGTCCTAAATATTTGATTGTTTTGATTTGGTTGCCCTGTTGGAGTCATTTTCATGCTACCAAAATCTTGAATTATAAAATGGTACTCATTGATCATAACTGTCAGATTCAAAATATATTAGTTGTTTCAACTAAATACCGTGAAATTTCTGCAAAAGTCACTGCATGATACAAACGGAGGTGAGGCGATGGAAAAATAGCTTCAGATTGCAGAGAAAAAGCGGAGGTATCAGGTGGCTGCCATGGCTCGTCAACATTTGCAAAAACAATTCTTAAACTTTGTCATTTCGTGACTTCATTCGAGAGAACAGAAAAATACTTAGGTACATTCAGTTGTTTTCATTGGAAATTAACTGATGAGGCTACTAGATTCATACTCAAGAGACAAATATATTCGATTTTCATTTTGAACTTCTAAACCAGGCAGCTTGACCTTGAAATTTCGAAAAGAATTGCCTGAAGCGCAATTTTGCTCATATCACCTTTCTCAAATTTCAAACTCGATTCGCCACTACAAGAGATATACATTTTTGACAATTCTGTTCTTTTTTTTCGATCTTCAACTACCTTTAACTCTAGGGTTGGAAAATTTTCTCAGTGAATTAGGGCCCCATCAACCCTCGTTGCACCGGGGCCCCGACACCTCTCGCTACGCCACTGGGAATACATGGAATTTTATACCAGGGGTATTTCCGATATTCTCATGGATGTTTTGCGTTAGAAATAAAGTGAAACTGATATCTAGTCTTTGAGGAAACTGACCTCAGTCTTCACTGCTAACGAAACATACTTCAAAATAATATCATTGAGAAAAACGTTCAGTGTGAGTCACGTTTGATCTTTTTGGCACTAAGCTTTTTTCGCTCATTTTGAAACATTATTTCTGAATAGGTATTCCTTCTCCTTTGTGACAAATCGCATTGTATAGGAAGTGTAGAATTAATGAAATAAAATCATACGAACTAAACGAAACACTAAACTTATTAGATATGTACTACACACACTACAGATTTAAAAATTCAGTAAGTTACTGAATAAATAAAGTTGTCTTACAAGCATCATGTTTCAATTTGATTATGAATACAGGGTATGTCACGACGAGCTTACACTATCTTTATATCGAGAATAAATCGCGAAAAATCTATGAAAATCTGCATGCTCATATCTCAGAATACGCTCTTTTCATTCGAAGTATTTTCGACAATGCAGTGTTGCCGCTTCTACTAGAAAGTAGTAGCAACATCGATATTTCAGATGGAACACCCTGTATTTCATCGCATTTTCAGATTCTCCCTGAAGAGCTGATTTTATCGATGTATCACACTTTGGGTCTATCGAAAAAGATTACAGAGATATAGGGTGTTCAAAATCGGGATTTTTCAACTATAGGATTTTTTTGTGTCGAAACTATTCATTATTGGTGAAAACGGCTCACATGTCCCTATCTCAACTTTTGATTCACTATTTATTCATATTCAATCGGAACAGATACAAGGTGGTTTACGTTTCAGAACTCTGATCACCCTGTATCTGTTCCGATTAAATTTAAGTAAATAGTAAATCAAAAGTTGAGATATAGGGACATGTGAACCGTTTTGGCCGATAATGTATAGTTTCGACACAAACAAATCCCAAAGTTGAAAAATCTCGATTTTGAACACCCTCTTTATCTCAGTAATCATTTCCAATGGACCCGAGTTTGATATATTGATGGAATCAGCTCTTCAGGGAGAATTGAAAAATGCAATGAAATACAGGGTATTCCATTTGGAATAACAAAGTTGTTGTTACTTTTTCATAGAAGCGGCAACACTGCATTGCCGAAATTATTTTAAATGAAGAGAGCGTATTGCAGTATATAAGCATGCATATTTTCATGTATATCCCCCATCTGATTCTTGATATAGTGATAGTGTAAGCTCGTCGTGACATACCCTGTATATAACAAGGCCAAACAGAATAAGGTGGGCTATAAGCAAATTTCAACCATTTAAATCTCCAGGAGAGGATGGAATCTACCCCATCCTACTCCAAAAGGGGCAGGAAATACTAATTCCAAATCTATGTAGAATATTTAAGGCCTGCATAGCTATGCGATACATACCTAGTGAGTGGCAGAAGGGAAGAGTCATTTATATACCCAAGGTAGGGAGACTGAATGACATGACGCCCAATAAGTCATACCGTCCAATCTGTCTAGTGTCCTTCCTGCTCAAAACTTTAGAAAGACTAATAGACAGATACATCAGAGATGTGGTTTTATTAACAAACCCCCTCAACGAGCGACAATACGCGTATCAGCCGGGCAAGTCGACAGACTTGGCACTGGATGATCTAAACAGGCTACTAACAAAATCCTTGGAGGACAAAGAGATAGCAATGGCGACATTCGTAGACATTGAGGGTGCTTTCAACAATGCATCTACAAAGTCAATTACCAAAGCTCTAGAAAAGAAAGGGGTTCCATCCCTCCTGTGTCGATGGATAAACGCCAGCTTGGAAAAAAGGGTAATTATATCATCCATTGGCGAAACCACAGTCACAGCTAGAACAGGTAGGGGCTGTCCGCAAGGAGGGGTGTTATCACCTCTCCTATGGGCTATCCTAGTAGACGAATTACTGAAGAGGCTAACATCCAAAGGTATGCATTGCTTAGGGTACGCCGACGATGTTGCGATTATTGCAAAAGGCAAATTCGCAGGAACAGTCTCGGAACATACCCAAACTGCTCTAAACATAATTAACAAGTGGTGTCAAGAGGAGGAACTAACTGTGAACCCTCTTAAAACCACGATAGTGGTTTTTACTAAGAAGAAAGTACTGAGAGGGCTGAAGCCACCAGTTCTTAACGGGGTAGAAATTCCAATTGCACAAGAGGTAAAATACTTGGGAGTCATCTTCGACCACAAGCTGACATGGAATAAACACCTACAGAAAATAATCCAGAAAAGCACGATAGCCCTCAACCTGTGCAGAAGAATGTGCGGGAAAAACTGGGGGTTAAAACCAAAAATGATCATATGGCTATATACCAGGGTTATTAGACCAATGATAGCATATGGTTCGGTGGTATGGTGGCTAAAGACTCGGCAGGCTGGGGCGACCCAAAGGCTAAGTGGCATTCAAAGGCAAGCCTGCCTGGCAGCCACGGGAGCTATGAGGACAACCCCAACAGCCGCCTTAGAAGTCTTGCTGAACCTATCGCCACTTCACGTCTACATACAAGGCGAAGCCAGGTCAGTCACCAATAGATTGACCAGAGGGCAAACGCCCATAAGCAGACTGCACGGTAAAATGTACAACGAACTATACAAAGAGTTGGAAACCGACCCGATAATGGGAGCAAGATGTGCTCCTATCGGTCCAGAACCTTTCTGTGGTATAGCGAAAGCGCTGCAAAGAACAAATAACAGCACTTGGATGAAGAAGCAGTCTCGAGAATGGTGGAACAAGGCGCCGGGAATGAGACAGGCCAAAGAGTTCATTGAAGAACCATTGCCAAAATTCACGGAGTACCTACTAAGCCAGAATAGGAGAACAACAAGGATCTTGGTTGGGCTCCTGACAGGGCACTGTAGACTCAACAAACACATGAACAACATCGGATTGGCGGACACAACCATATGCAGGTTTTGCCAAGAAGATGAGGAAACCTCAGCACACATACTGTGCTACTGCGAAGGCCTGACTAGGCTAAGGTTTTCGACGATAGGGGAGGAAAAACCACAGCCCTCTCAATATATGGAGGACCTGAGGTCTGGCCTATGGAGTCTAGTAATAAGGATGGGTTTAGACAAGGAACTCTAACATAACA